GGGTGGTTGCTGTCGGTCGGTCGGTCGGTTGGGAGTATGTCATGTGGTGGATGTGGATCCAACTCCAGAAAATGTATGTGGATATATGATGACATGTGTATATAGCTATGAACAAATCTATATTAACATCCTTGGTAATCTTCACTTTTACAAAGGTAATTGATATCTTGAGACTGAATCCTTGCTGGACTGAAACTTGGATAGCCTTTTCATATTATATGGGGATAGGGCCGTAGCATTCTAAGTGTACATTTTTGGAGGCGCATTCTAAGTGTGCGCGATGAAATTTTGGGATTTGAAAAGGCATTCTAAGTTTCAGTCCGTAAGTATAATACTAAAATCATATATATATATAATAGTATATTGTTATGTGTATATATATATATATATTGCATGTGTTATATTAGTGCAACGTTTTTGGAGTAGTGAATTGAATTTCTGTCTCTGATGTTTTTCACATCTCAAGTCGAGTTGCAGTTTAGCATGGTCGTGTGGCGCGAGCTTCTCCGTGGACTCGCGGTGGAGACGCTTCGCATCGGGGCCTCGTGGGTGGCTGAGCTGAGCCGTCCAAAGACACCATCAAGCTGCTTGGACCGGGTGCTGGATCTTGAGGGAAGACTGAGGGATTCTTGGCAATCGGGTGAGGATCTGAAAAAGTGTGAGCTTCACAAGGGGCAGTTGTTGGAATTGGTGGCGCAGCCAGGTCCTTTGATTCATTTGGTGATTTTCATTGTAGGGCTGGTAAGTGGTTGCATTGGTACTCTGTTGATTTTGAGCTACGGCCAGAGAACGGTCGCTCAGAGGGGTCAGCCGCTGGAGATTTGCTTGCCCTATCAGAAATCTCCCTGCTCTATCGGCAAAGACGCTGTGGAGCAGGATGGCGTCTCAGAGGCAGTGGCTTCAGCAAGACGCCGCGCTCGTACGTTATCGAGACGACGAGACCCTTCTCCATTGTAGGCTGATTCTACTTTGTTTGGAGGAAAGCAAGTGTATAGTTTGTACCCCCGACAGAGACATTGAAACCACAGTTCTTGAAGTAGGAGACACCTACAGTGAGATCAAAAGGATGATAGGCGGCCGGTTGCCCAGCGGAGTGAGAGATCAAGATACTTATTTGCCTCGACACTCCGATCTGGGCACCATTGGGCCAGAAGAAGCGCGGAGTCTGGTTTTTCGGGCCGAGCGCATGCAAAGCGGTGTGGTGGAGCGCCGCCGGGTGACCGGCAAAGTCGATGAGCATGGCAGAGTTTTCAGGGACGGAGGCACGGGAGGTGGTGTGGCTTCAGTTCCTGTTGCAGCACTAGGACCTGCAGACCTTTTGTGGCTGGTGGTTTTTCGGACGGGCTCTGGAGATCTGGGGGAGGAGGTGACTCCACCTTCTGGCAGTCGGACCTTGGAGGTGAGTGGAAAACGTTTTCACCTTTTTCCTTGTGGTGACGAGGTGTTGCTCACTCAGGGCTATAGACCATCCGAAGTAGAAAAGGCAAAGGACACCATTAGGCTCCAGAAAGGTTCTGGGGGAGACAAAGAGGAGCGGGATTTGAGAATCTTGCCAATTCTCTTTGATAGCTCCGAAGAGCGGTATCGAACGGTCGCTGAAGCAGTGCCTGAATATGAGGAGGTGGAGTTCGATGATTATCCCCTCCAGGGGCCTAGGACGCTTTACCATGACTCAAGGCAGCTTCGACGTATGGGCCTGGACTTTTTGATGCACCATGAGGGTTGGATTAAGAAGTCTGGGGTGCGGATATCGGATCGATCCGTTCATGAGCATGGTTCAATTTGTCGGGCGCTCCATTACATGATGACCTATGACCAGCTGAACTTACCTTCCTTGGCGAGCGCTGAAGCCCTCAATAGAAGGCGGACTTTGATTGAACATGCTCACCAAGGCAGGCCAGATGCTCCTGACTACGCAGCTGGGGAAGATATGCTCGGGTATCGTGAGAGCGGGGATGGCAGCATCATTGATCCCGCTCTGACTCAACATGCTGCCCGGAAGCAAGCTCAGAGGGCAGAGGTGCTCAAGCAAACCCGGCTGGCGGCTGAGGAGAGAAAGCAACTCAGGGAAAAACCTCCGAAGGGGGATGGAAAGGGGCCTAAGAAGGAGAAGGCCCCAGAGAATCCCTAAGATGAGAGGCGGGAGGAGGTCGCATGGCGCCGCGATTTCCTCTGACCATGTTTTGGGCGCCAAACAGTTTTCCAGTTATCCCAGGGGACGTTTTGGAGATCTTTTTCCTTTGCCGCTTCCAGTGGATGAGTTTTTTCCAGGGGCTAGCAGGGAGCTGGGGTCTCGTCGAGCTCAGCAGAGGGTTGTTAGGAGGAGATGTCTTCTTGGCCGGGCAGCAGCTACAGTCAAGGGGCTGAACCAACTGGCAGGCTTCGAAAACCAGGCCGAGTGGCCTTTGCGACCTGTGAACAAAGCCCAAGGAGAAGTAATTAGAAGGGTGGAAGGTGCTCATCGTGAACGTGCCCCTCCGCCTATGCAAGAGAGCCTTCAGGCAGCGCTGATGCAGCTGCTGAAGAAAAAGGCGTCGGGTTACATGGAGGTACCCGACGGCCCCGGGCAGCTTGCTTCCTATGTCCGGAGCCGGCTGTCACTTCCTAGAGGTCAGTGCAATCCAGTTGATCTAGTGTCGATTCTCCCACCTAGAGAAAGAGACCAATTGCTGAACTTCGAGACCAAAATGTTGCTGAGTGACGAAGAGATCGCGGCTGAGGTTGAGAAGGGCTTCGAAGGTTCCTCATACATTGACCCCCAACTTGACACAGATCCTCAAAAGTATCACGAGTTTATTTCAGATTTGTACAATTGCAAGTTGATACATTTCACCAACCAGCCTCGATGCCAAGTGGGTGCTTTTGTGGTGACCAAGAAAGGGGATAAGCAGAGACTCATTTTGGATTGCCGCCCCGCGAACCGCCTGTTCAGGAGACCTCCAACAACGATCCTGGGTTCGAGCGAAGCTTGGAATCGTTTGGAGGCGGAGGACACGGCGCAGATTTTTGTGGCACAGGAGGACGTGAAAGATTTTTTCTACCGGTTGCAAATAGATATAGAGCTGGGTAGGTTTTTCAGTCTGCCTGTCATTGACCCTGAGAAGCTTGAGCACATTTTGGGCTTTCAACCGCCGGAGCTTTTGTCTTTTACTGCTGAACCTCATCGGCCTATTTACCCCTGCATGAAGGTTTTACCCGTGGGTTTTTCATGGGCTTTTCACCTGGCGCATGAGTGCCACATGGAACTGGCTCGGAGAGCCTTACCGCAGGTGCCTTTCCTGAAGGACAGGACACGTGCGCCGAGGTTGGGCACGGAGCCGGGGAGTGTTGGGACAGCAATGCTGATCTATGCGGACAACAACAACCACTTGGGTATAGCAGCAGATACAGTGGATAGGGAGCAACAGCAGATGATTACAGCACTACACAGCAAGAACTTGGCTACACACGACATCACAAATGCGAGTACACTAGCAGAGAGTCTGGGCGTCAGGATCGACGGACTGGGCGGCAAAGTGCAACCGACCGCCCAGAGGGATTGGCGCCTGGACAGGGCTCTTCAGTTTTTGTCACGCAGGCCATACATTACAGGTGAGCAACTACAGGTAGTTGTGGGACACATTACATGTCGAGCTTTGTTGAACCGCAGTCTGATGAGTGTCTTGAGATATAGCTACAGTTTTATTGAGCAGTGCTACAAAACTAGACAGAGGCTTTGGGCAAGCGTTGCTAAAGAACTAGAGCTTTTCAGAGTTTTGATGCCACTTGGAAACAGCTTTTTTAGAGCAGAGTGGGACAGCAATCTCCTGTGCACAGATGCTTGCTTGTCGGGGTACGCCGTGATGACTGCTTCGTTCCCATGGGAGGAGGTTGCCACACTGGGGCGGCACGACGAGCGCTGGCGTTTCAGGAGGACAGATGGGTCACGGGTTGCACCACGTCAACAGGTTTTCAACACCAGTGGGGTTTTTGAGGACATCTTGACAGTGATGCCCGTTGTGAGAGGTGAGGTTGAGGGGCCCTTAGAGGAGGACCCCACTTTTCCAGATGTTTCCCAGAATCTCATGAAACCTGAGTTTTGGCACAAGCTCTGGAATGCACCGGTTCATTTTCGAGAGCCTGTTCACCTCATCGAAGCACGTTCTGTTCTAGGTGCCTTCAAACACATTTGCAGGGATAGCAAAAAACATGGAAGGCGGGTGGTCATCCTGAATGACAACATGGGGGTGGTTCTTAGTATCCAGAAAGGTAGGTGCAGCAATTACAAGTTGTTGAGAATAGTCAGACGCATTGCCGCACACAGCCTGGCAACCGGGACCAAACTCCATGTGCGTTGGGTGCCCTCAGAGCTGAATGTTGCTGACGAAGCAAGTCGTCAGTGGGAGCCGAAGTCACACCCAAAGAGCAGTTGGTATACAGAGAGGGGGGCAGACATGCAAGAAGAGAGAGGTGAAAGTCTTCAGCAAGTCAGCAGCAGCGGAGGCCAATCGGAGGATGCAAAGCCCGGACCGAGAACGGCAAATCAGCAGGAAGAGAAAGCTTTCTCGGAGTCGGAGTCGCTCACCAAATGGCCGGGAGCCAAGAAGCACAGGGCTTCAGCAGCAGCTGAACTTGGTGAAGCAGAAGAGACAGAAGGCAATGACCAGACAGATGAAGTACGAAAAAAGACTTCGTGCGACTCGGGGAGAAAGAGGAATCCTGGAAGACCACTCCGTGAAGGAGCCGCAGAGGAGAGACTATGCGAGGAGGCTGAACGGGTTCTACGGGTTCATCGCCCGGTTCGATCTCCCGATTGGCACGGAGGCAGAATTAGATGTAGCATTGGTGGACTATGCCGACCTTCTCTACCTAAATGGGGAGGCAAGCGATGCGGGGACAAAGCTGAAAGCCGCTCTAGAATATCACCGACCAGAAGCTGCAAGAAGTGGAACCCTGCACCTGCCCAGATTCAAGAGATCGTTGAAAGGGTGGAGGAAGTTGGCGCCAAACCAGACCAGGTTGCCAATGGTGGAGCACGTCAAGAGTGCCATCTCCGGAGTGATGCTGCACCAGGGGTGGCCAGAGATGGCGTTGTTCAACGAGTTGACATTCTCCACGTATGCCAGGCCAGGGGAGCTGATGAAGGCAAGAGTCTGCGATGTGGTGGGGAAGTTGAAGAAGGAGGACAACGACATCATAATCCTTGCTCCTTTCGAAAGAGGGGAGGAGTCAAAGACTGGGATTTTCGACGAGGTGTTGATCCTGGACGACAAGAGGCTGAGCAGTCTAGGCCCGTTGACAGTGGGCATGGCAGCAAAGAAGGAGAAGAAACAGGGGCCCCAAGCAGATCTTTGGGACTTCAATGCCAAAAAGTACTTGGAGGTTTGGAGGTCATGCGTGGCAGCCTTAGGAGCAGAGGAGCTAGCAAAGTCACCCTACCAGAACAGACATGGGGGGGCTTCGAGGGACCACTTGCAAGGTGTGAGGAGTGTACAGGCAATCCAGCGTCGGGGGCGCTGGGCAGCAGACAGCTCAGCGCGCATCTACGACAAACCAGGCAGACTGCAGCAAATCCTGAACAAGATGCCTCGGAACTTGGAAACTTTTTGGAGAGCAGGTCAGACTGAACTTCGCAGAGTACTTCCAAGGTGGCACCTTCCAGTTGCCGAAAGAGGTCAGGAAGAGAGTCCTGGCATGTTTCAAGGCATGAGCTTTCTCAGTTTGTTTGGAGGGGTTGGAAACCCCGCTCGCTTTTTTGCTAGGGAAGGAGGTTGCGCTTGTGTTGTTGATCTCTCTGATTCCCCCTCAAATGATTTGGGAAAACACTCAGTGTGGAATGAGATTGATCGTATTGCTTCCTCAGCTGACGTAGTGGGCATCGATCTGCCATGCAACACGTGGTCAAGAGCTAGACGGGCGCCTGCATGGTCGAGGACGCCAAAGCCTCTGAGGCAGCTGGGTGAACACATCTATGGGCTGGACAATGTGACTTTAGTGGACTCACAGAAAGTCGAATCTGCAAACGTCATGCTGAAACGCTCAGTCCGAGTCATTCGACGAAGTCTCAAACGAAATGGGAAGGGGTATCTTGAGAACCCTTGGCTGTCCATGGTCTGGCACACGCCAGAAATCCAAAGATTGCTCAAAGATCCCAGAGTACATTTGGTTCGTCTTGACGCCTGCCAATATGACTGTGCATGGAAGAAACCTACCGGTCTGCTCATGTGGGGAGTGTCAAAACCACAGTTCAAGGTTTGCCACGGTTTTCACTTTTGCAGTCGAACCAAAAAGCGACATGTGCAATTGACTGGCATTTCTGGAGGACGTTTTTTGACGCAGCAAGCACAGGTCTATTCCCACACTATGGCAAGAGCCCTAATGCTGTCTTTTAGTCACCCGACCCAACCCCCCCTCATGAGCCATGCTGGAACATGGAGATGGGGGAGGTGAATTGGGGAAAGTGGAGCTGGCACTCACTTTCTTTTGGACATGACTGCGAGGCTTTCTTGCGAAAGCGTTTCTGGGGAGATGGATATTTGAAGGTTGGGCGGCGCCGAGGGGCATTTGCCGGCCGTGGAACTGGTACTGGTATGAGAGGTGCAGCAACCGCCTCCTCAAGGGAACTGGGTGAATTTTCAGGCGCAGTCCACATTTCCGGAAAGCGCCTGTTGCGGAGCAAGGCCTCTTCCACTGCATCTCTAGCATGCTTGACATATTCAGCTGGCTGCTCACATTGTAGATATTTGGTCATGCTTGCCTCAATCATGGCTTGCTCTTCCGACACCTTTTCATCAAAATCAGGTGCCTTGGTGCTGAAGCCGCTCTTGTAGTTCCCGTAGAACTCTTTGTCCATTTCTGCGAGCAAGTCCTTGCGCAAGTCGTCCACGTTGATCCGGTAGATCGGCTCATCGGCGCTTTGACTGGGGAGCCGCAGGTACAGCGCACGCAAGCCGAAAATAAAGACAACTGTCCTTTTGAGAACCGCCATGACATCCGCAGGTTTGTCTCCGGGGAATGTTCGTATGAGGAGGCCCAGGAACTCGGCGTTGTCAATGGAGATGCGGTTGTCTGGCTCTGGCTCATCTTCCTTTTGCACATCATTTGTTGCATAGACTCGGCAACAATTCTTGGCCAATTTGACATCATTGTATCTTCCGTGACAGGTTTGGTTCTCCTCCGCTGTGACAAATGACTTCAAGTCTGCCAAGTCAATCTTTTCTCGATTGGGATCATCAAGAAAGACTCCTTCATGGACCTGGTCAAGACGATGCCGGAAGTTATCTAAAGACTTGGCCCTCCGCCAGCCTGGAGGTGTGAGTAAGCCAAGACGTCTTTGATGGTACCTGCCCATGGCCAACATCATGACGATGGCTGCTGGAGTTTTTCCAACGCCAGGCCAGCCCAAGAGCATGAAAGCATAGTTCACCATGAGCGGGTACAAGATAGGCAGGAGCGTTTTGGCGAAGAAAGGCTTCAACGAGAAGGTGTGCAACGGAAAGTCATGCTCCAATGGGGCACCATCTTTTCCTTTTGCCTTGTTCTGAGCCATAGTGCGTACCTTCGCCTCCGGCCACCCAGAAATCGGAGTGTTGGAGTTGTCCTTGATGTTGCACAAGATCCAATAGTACTGTTGGTTCTGCGCGTCACAATCAGGGGCATTGTCGTTGATGTACTGGATGCCAGCAAGGAGGTCCTCATCATCAGGGGCCCACGTGGCAGTCTGAGAACGCCGAATGGTAGAAGGCTTCGAAGTGAGGGCAAACCAAGACACATGATAACCTGGAAGCTTGTCAATCAAAGACACCAAAGCCTTTTTCAAAGCCCAAGGACCAGGACGGAAGGCAGGAGCATAAGCTTGTCCACTGCGTAATTTTAACGCTTCTTTGGTGGAGATGGCCTGCTCAAAGTGCAGAATCTTGACGACCTCGAAGGTACCATCTTCCAAATTACGAATCACCAGGCCCAGGCGACATCCTTCAGGAAGGGACTGGGGAGGTCGAATACATGCTGGGAGGTTGTTCACTTGGTCGCAGGAATGTACTGGAGCGAATTCCGGCACTGGGAGCTGCACATCAAAAAGGAGAGTTACCTGCTTCATGCCATCCAAAGGCCGGCACGCTTCTCGGAGGAACGTGGTCAAGGAAATGGCATCATCCATAGAAGCTGCCTGCTTCATGCCACAACAAAGTCGGTTTGACAAACGACAAACGACTTACGACATTGGAGAAAGTTTCTGTTATTGCAGGCGGGCTGCCAGCAACTCAGTCTTATCGCCTGGGCCAATTGCGAGCTTGGAGCTGCTTCCTGCGGGGACACGTTTCGCTGAAGCAAGGCACTTGCGTAGATCCTCTTCGGCGGCTTGAGTCCACACACCTTTTTTGATTCCTCTCGGCTGAAGGCTTCTTGTCTTTTGGATGTTGTTGATGATGATGGCCAAAGTCTTCCTGTCGAGGGGGATACGTGAAGGGTGCACAGGAATGTTGCCGGCCAGAATGCGTTCCCACAGAGCTTTGAAATCCAGCTTGGGCGTCTCGATGGTTGGCTCAGAAATTTGGAGGCTCAGCTGGGCACTGTCTCCGGACATGGATACATCTCCAGACACCGCAAAGGACGGCATGACGAAAGATGACTCAAGTTGAGAGGGAGTCTACGAGTCTAAAATCTACAAAACGAGCAGCTGGGTCGGCAAGTGTGATGCAAGTTTACCAGCAGACTCTCGCAGAGAAAATTGAGTTCCAGAAAACATTGCCATACAAGAGTTCCAAAAAGTTTTAAAAGTTTTAAAACTTTTTGAAACTAAGAACTAAGAACTAAGATTTCCCCACACTCTCCCACAGCAATGTTAGTTCCAGAAAACCTTGCCATACAAGAGTTTCAAAAAAGTTTTAAAAGTTTTAAAACTTTCTGGAACTAAGAACTAAGAACTAAGATTCCCCCAGACTCTCCTGTGCATTCTTAGTTCTTAGTTCTTAGTTCCCAGAAGTTTTAAAACTTTTAAAACTTTTTTGAAACTTTCTTGACCTTCAGATGTGGGAAGTAAGACTTGTCCCCAAGAGTTCTGTGCATTCTTAGTTCTTAGTTCTTAGTTCCCAAAAGTTTTAAAACTTTTAAAACTTTTTTGAAACTTTCTTGACCTTCAGATGTGTGAAGTACGACTTGTCCCCAATAGTTCAAACAATATAGATGTGTGAAGTACGACTTGTCCCCAATAGTTCAAACAATATATATGGTACCCCCCTGCACATCTGGCAACATATCTTCCTCACAGAAATGGGGGTACATGGGGGGGGGGGTACCATATATATATATATATTATGTATTTCTTCTGGAAACACATGTAAGGGGGTCGCCTGAAAGAGACACTGACAAAAATGTGCCCGGATTTGAGTCAAGAGTTGAGTTATCCTTCAGGAGCAGTTGAGAAGAGGATCATAAAGCTGTGTATGTGCAGGTCAAAAAGCTCTATAGCCTCCGACGGGTGCAGCAAGATGTGCCGGGTGACCTTGTCATTTGGGATGCAACCTGCACAGAACATAGCCCTTTCTTTGCTGGACGCTGGACGCTACACTGCTTGGTCATGACGAGCCTTTTGCGGTACATGCCATAAAACCTGCTGTGGTAACATGTGGTAACCAGCATATACAGGGTCGCCGAAAGACTTCAGGAACAGATCGAGGATCAGATGCAAACAGTTAATTAATCACAACAGATAAGTGATGCGCATGAGGAGATGCACTCCGCAAAACTCAGTGATCACTCGTGCAAATATGGCCATTTATCAGAACTGCAAAAGTATATAACAAAATACAACATATATATATATATAGTACATATATACAAAATAGGGAGTTCTTCTGTGCTGAAGCTCTTTTTCCCCATTTGTTCCGCGCGAGACTTTGTGTACCGACGCGACTGAGGGCACATGAGCCGTCTCTGAAGGTTCCAGCGACCAAGCCCCGTAGGGATGCCGAGAGTGTTGGTCCAACAATCAGTGTTGCTAAACACTTGCTGTTTTTGTTTTTGAGGGTGTTATTTTTACAATATAACTTTTATATATATTCTTTTTTTTTGGGGAGGGGGAGTAGGCCGCTAGTAGAGGTAGGTACTGTAGCTAGTAGTAGCTAGGTAGCTAGTACATAGAAGCTAGATAGCTGGTAGCTACAAGGAAACTAGTGCGTATGGACGCAGGATAGCTCACACTCCTTCAAGGAAGCTCCCGCCGCCCCAAAGGCGGCGGGGTAAGCTTCCTTGAAGAAGCGCTTACTATTCATTTGGTTCCTAGATCTTTAGGGAAACTTCACTAGCTCTTGAGCTTCGATTCGTTCACCCAGATGGCAACCCTTGTCAAGAACATGATTGTTGGACTCTGTTGGACATCCTGAGAATCATCGCTTGATGAATTCTGTCACGGAGGGTCACTGTGCGTTGGTGCAACATCAGCTCCACTGAGCTTGGAAGGCATAACATTCGGGCTCATCACGCCAAACATTTTGAGTGTCCGACCCCTGACGTTGTTGTATTCATGAAAGGATGGCAATCGGTTCCATGTCCTCACTGGAGGAGAAAATGTAGGGCGGGCTTTGATCGGTTGTGACACACCATAACACACCCTTGTGCGAGTGTGCAAGCGCCCAGGTGCTGCATGGGGTGAAGATTCACCAGCGCCTCGCTTTGATACCACTTTGAGAACAGAGGGAAGTTTCCATGAGTAGTATGGCCAGGAGCTACTAGTAGCGTCTTGCTCCTAGTAGGAAGGCCAGGAGCCCCTAGTAGCTTCTTGTTCCTAGTAGTATGGCCAGGAGCTACTAGCAGCATGCCAATCACCCAAAGGCAGTTTCCAGCTGTGACTGGCGATTGCTTGGACACAAGAGTGCGGGCTAAAATCGGAAGCGTCGATCAATGCAGGGTGCGAAAGGGAACAAGCCGAACGGCGATCGCCTCCAACCCAATAGCGATGGCCTCCAACCTGATAGCTGATCATCCTTGAGTTCGCCATGTGATAAGTCAGCACATCGCGCATCCTCATGCACCACATCACGCGCTGCATCTCAAGATACTGCAACATCACCACCGGCCACTGCAAAACAATACTTTCGATAGTCTACCCTTGTTTAGAAGCTTCCGCCCGGAGTTTCCCTGGCATATGAGAAACTGCTTTTGAGATCCAGTACAGCTGAACGAATGCCTATGCCTCCCGAAAAGACGAATTCAGCCCTTTTCTTGCTCTTTTTGACACGAATCCTGATAGGCAGCCGGTCATTTTGGGAGTTCAGAGCACACTCATTTCTCTGACCTTTGTTGGCTGTTTTCAACAGAATGTCCGAGCAAACTCTGCCGGGTAGTTGGGCCTGTTCCTTCTTTCGTTCCTTCCTTCCCTTGAAATCTACGACTATGGTCTACTAGGGTTGAAGATCGGTTGAAGGATATTGGAATTGCGTAGCTAGTGATCGCTTTGGCTCCAGTTGAAATGGGTACAGTAGTCCATTTTTACCATTTGTTCTTGTTTGTCTGTCGACCTCTTTTCATCCTGAGGTGTGGCTGGCGGATAGTTTCTTGGCCCCGGCGGACCGCTATATCTTCGGAGAGGTGCCCCAACATTTGATCATCCAGAGGGCACATCATCGGAGAGGTGCAATCTTTGAGAAAAGATGGTGCCTTTGATGCGCATGGAAAACCCAGAGCTCACCCATGAGACTTATCCATGTTTCCCCGTCATCGATATTTGACAAGGTCATTGTTAGTTTTTTGGTTCGGGAGGCTTTTGGTAGGGTACAGGCAGGCGCCCTGCCATATCCTGCCATGCCCGTTGCGTGGAAATCAGGTGGACCGACCCCCGCCTGAGCTCAACGAGGATGGCGGGCGAGTGAAGACGGCAACAGCGTAAAGTGACACATAAAAATCATATAAAATCAACCCTGGCCGTGAGAAAGGGAGAAATGAGGACGAAGAATGAAGAACGACATGCCGGCCTCTATTGTTCTTCCTCTCTGAAGTTCCTAGTGACTGGTTTGACCTCCAGGGAGCCCGAGAGTTTCATGGGAGAGATGCGGCCGCCATCGATTGCCCACATTGAAGGTCCCACCAAACACCTTTGACCGTTTGGCAAGAAAGTGAGAAGAAGGTGCTGGACAACGAAGGCCATGGCCACGCCGGCCAAGAGCATCCCAAACCATCCCAAACTTACCTTAGGATGTACCACTTCTGCGTCACGTATCTTTAAAATGCTTTATTTATGGTACCTTAGGACCGAGATTCTAACTGGCTACGAACGGGCTCCTGGCCTAGCGAACGGCTCCGCGACCGGCTCCAGACGCCTCCGGACCGATCCTTGGTGACGCACCGGGACCGATGCGCGGTCATCGAGAGAAGACACGAGGAGGCGCGCGGTGTCGACACGGCGGAAGACATGGCGCGTCTTCGGTCCGAAGGAATTCGGGTCGAAAGGCAACGCAAATCCGTATATTTTTACATTCCAAATATTGTAGAGGTGATTCCAACTCAGAATTAGGCTAATAAACCATGCTGAACAGCATTAGGTTCATCTAACAAGGAATCTGAAGTTGCGAGCAATTAGCAACTTTGTGCCTTCTCGTACCTCCTTGCGCCTGGCTTTGAAATACGTGCGTGTAGGTGCAAGCTTCATTGTTTTTTGTTCACCTCGAATTCTTGCCAAGCGCGAAAAGGAAGGCTTGCAGGGTTCATGCTCGGCAGGAGAACCGCGCACGGCACAGTGAACGCCTGGTAAAGGCGACCGACTTCACTCGATTGCCACGGAGGCGCTGAAACAAGCATCTTTACCTAATTGCCAAAGGAACCGAATAGCAATGGCCTCCGACCTGTCACTGGTGGATCTTGGAACCCGAAAGACGGAATCTTTGGTACACTTCCGGAGGGCAAGTGTCTCATCGCGATGCACGCGACGTGTCGAAAACGCAGGTTTTTCTTTGCTTGCTCAAACCTTGGCAGGAGGAGGATTCAGATGCTGGAGAGCCACTCTGGCTGGGAGTTAAGCGCCTTTAGCAAGCTTATCCCTCAATATTGTTGGACGTGAAGAATCAGTACTATAAACGAGCAGAAGATATTAGTGCATTTGCTATCTTCTGTGACTCAAAGTGTTCGGCGTTTCAACTGGATTCGAGTTCTGTTCAACTCGCCTCCCTTTTGCACGACACTGAAAATCACATCCCGATGGAAGATGGACGCATTGATGGACCTTTGCGGGGGCGGTTCCAGGGCTGTAACGTTACAGCCATTTGGTCCATGGACTGTGGCAACTATTTTGTTGTTCAACTATGTTGTCCACCGACTGTGTCACTCTACTGCCCGATCCGCTAACGGACATCATCCGGTAGCAAAACTCAGTGGAGACTGGCTTGATGCACTTTGCTGCCAGGCTTGGAGAAAGATGAGGCGAGCCTTATACTCCCGTATTATAGCTCTCAGGGGAGTTGGATGCGATGGAAGGCATTTTCTCCACTGTGAATTCTATTGTAGGCTGGCCAGGACTCAGGATCAGATTTGGCTGCACCATTGTTGCATGGGTGGTTGATATAGCCGTGGAGTATGTTGTCGTACAAGGAATAAAGCAAGCTGGATCCGCATCGAGCACACGCGACCTGCATTAGATGTGTTTGTGTCCGCTGGTTTATCACTTTGGAAAGCCTCATCCTGATGGATTTCTTTTTCATACTCAGGTCCTATGATGAGTGAATCTTGACACCAAGAGTCAACGTCCTCCAGCGGTGGCAGGTCTCGCCATGGCCAGGGCCTACATCCTTTCGTCGTCAGGAGTTGTGGCCAATGCGTCAGGCCGGCAGTGCCTGAGTGCAGAAAGGAATCCATATCGTGGTTGGCCACAGACATTGTAGAAGGCTAGGGCCTCACCAAGATGCATCAGATATCCTTTGAGCTGCCCAGACTTTGGTGCAACAAAGAGTATATACTCTGAGTGCTCTAAAACCCCAAAGTGAACTCAGTACTAGCAGCGACAACGCCTCGTCGGTCTGCTTCCATCTTTCGCCAGGTGGCTTCCGATCGAGCACGGAGGGAGTTTCTCACACGTTGGGGCCACGAGTTTGAGGGCCCAGAATGGGCGAACGCAGATGGGCCCAAGATGAGTCTAAGAAGTGAGAAGCAGCTTTTTTGCAGCTCCGTATGCCGCGCAAGCTTCATGAGAGGAACAATGATTGAGAACCCTGGTGGGTGGAGGCAGAGGTTCATCAGGAGGAATTCTTGCTTTCATTGGCCTTTCCGTGCAAGTGCAAGGCGTCCCAGGGAAGTCTTCCGCACCGAGGAGGAGTCCAGCTCAGGTTTGGCAACACCCTTTGGCGCAAACAAGCCAGTCGCGTTGACGAAAGAAGCCACAGACGCGAACAGTGGCTGAAATGTGGGTCCAATTCAGCAACCTTGCCACGCCATCATGAGATTGTGTATTTTCACTCCATGTAATATGTACATTTTGTACCTTGCACATAGTAGGATGTCATGTTGACTTTACCTTCGCAGCTCGCGGCCCAAAACAGGAGTTGCAGCTTAACGGCTGTTTCTATAGGTTATCAGCCGTAGTGCTCTAACCACAGCCATGGACGCTCTTGCTATTCCTGGGAACGGTACATCATCGGTAGCAGTCCCAGCCGGTCTCATGACTGAGCCCACGGTGGATCTAGATGACCCCATGGGTTCAGCTCCTGTCACAGCTTACTTTCAGTTCGTTCAGCAAAGCATCCAACAAGTGTACAACGGAAACGAAGATGCTATTATTGCTGAGGCAGAGAGAAGGCACAAAGAGATAATGGGACAATGGTTGGAAATGGTAAAAACCAAGTTTCGTCAAGCAATCGATGAAGTAGCGAGCAAGCATCATGATGAACTCAGTTCGGTAAGGCAACAAGCTCAATCTAGCCACAACCAAGTGCAAGGGGAACTAAGTGCCGCAAAAGCACGAATCCTTAAGCTAGAGAGTGAAAGGTCCATTGAAGCTGAAGCCAGAAAAGCAGAACTGGACTCCTTGCGCATTCAGCTCATGCACGATTGTCAGCAAACTGTCACTGCCATCACCAGCGGTGCCGAGCAAGGTGTGGCAACGCTTCGTGCAGAGTTTGATGAGCGGGAAACTCAGCTTCGACGTGAGCTACGCGACGCAGAAAATGAAAACTATAGCCTGCAGCAAATGCTCGATGACCTTAAAGTCAAAATGCATGCTGGACCCGAGCTAGAGTACCATCCAACAAGTGTCATGAACACACCAGTGTCTACCCCTAGGCATGATGACACAAAGAGGAAAAATCCTCTGGAGACCATTGCAGCAGAGGCTACTGCACGTTTGAGTGGACTGTTCGCACCCAAAGCGCCGACGGCCACCATCATCGGTGATGCCCCACCAGGGGCAGCTGCTCCTTTCAAGCCCGTGCTTCCAGTTTACGGAGGCACAGCAGCGGATGGGGGCAAAACACCGACAAATTTGTTCCATAGCCCTGCACCTTCAATTCGCGAACCCCATAAGCCAGCGTCATCAGGTGCTATCACCTCTGAGCAGGTGATTGAATTGGTCAAGTCACTCACACAGAGAGAGTCAGATGAGAAGCCAAAGGTAAAGGAGGCAGATCATATCAAGTTGAATGACATGCCAACCCCTGAAACCTATCGGCAGTGGAAACATCATGTGAGGGACGAAATCAAGTCATGTTCTGACAAACCAGATGCTGCCTGGGACTGGTTAATGGAGGTTTACAACACTGTTGATGAGAGGAAAGTTCTGGAAGAGCGGTTGTCTAACCCTGGGAAGTTCACAACGTTGGATACCAAGTTGGCAGCTGCGCTGACCAGAAGTGCAAAGGGTGATCTAGCAAACCGAATCATCAATTACAAAGAAGAGAAGGCAAAGCTAGGCATCCAGGTTCGAGGAAGGATGATTCTTCTCATGTTCGATGACTATTTCAAGACCTCGGAAGAAGCGGGTAGCCTCTACAGGGTTGAAGATCTCCTTAATGTGGTAAAGGTAGGCGATACTGTAGCGGACTTGAAGCGTTTCATCAACCGCTGGGACGCTACCATCGCTGGTATGCCCGAACCACCGCATGAAAACGTGCTTCGAGACATCCTTTTAAGGCAGATCCGCACTAGCACAATCCTGAGGTACGACATTGATCTCTTCGATCGTGCAAAAGAAGGTGACCATCATCGGTCTTACAAGTTCCTACTGCAAAGCATCAAGGATCTGATAGATCGGGAACGCCTTCGTGAGAATCGATCACGTATCGCGGAGCGAAATCGGCTCAAGCCAGGTGATCGACATGAGAAGAATGCAGCCCCTACTGTTGATCCTCGGCGAAAGCGTTCGCCATCGCGCGGACGATCCACTTCTCGGGAAAAGGGCATTTGTTGGGCCTTTTTGGAGGGAAAGTGTGCAAAAGGGAAAGATTGCAAGTTCAAGCATGAAAAGCCCAAGCGTGACCCTTCCAAGAAGCGCCAACCATCCCGGGAGCGGAATGAGTCGAGGGACAAAAGCACAGATAAGGAAAAGAAGCGGATGACTAAGGAAGAGATGGCGAAGACCCCATGCAGGTACGATCAACAAGGTACATGCAGAAGAGGAGACAAGTGCTTTTTCAAACATGGAGAAAAGGCTGCACCGGCTCCGAAAACGAAGCCAAGAAAGGATTCCCCAAAGCCAAAGGCAAAAGGAGATACCAAGAAGGCTGCCATTTGCCTGAGCAATCGGTTTGCATGTCTTGCAACTGGTGTGCCCGGACGATCATGTCTCAAGAAGTCCTGTCTTCCTCCAGCGAGAAAGAGGTCTAAGTCGTCTGTCCGAAGAACTACATTCGTTATGAAACCTGAAATTCGCACCATCCCTGCTCGCGGGGAACATTGCAAGATGGTCAAGCGTGAGCGCAAGTACAGTGTGCATTTTGCCACGAGCGATCGCGTGCCCAAGAGCGACCCAAAGGCAGCCCACATGGCCAAGGTGAAAGCTAGGCAGTTGGCTGAAGTTGTTCGAAGCTTTGATAGCGCAACAGTGCCCTCATGTCGTTTCCTGTGCATCGAATCGTCGCTTACTTGTCGTGAGTGTCGAAGCTTGATCAAGTTGAAAACATGTCCTACTACCATCCCGACAATAGTTGCTGGTCCAGCACCAAGGGAAGGCAGGTTCTCATGGCTCGTCGATTCCGGGAGTGAGCAAGACCTCCTCAGCAGAAAAGTTATGGATGCTGCTGGTGCGGAGAACCCAAGACGGGCTCCTCACACCATCAGTCTGATTACTGCAAATGGGTCGACCGAAGCCAGCGAGGTAGCTGATGTCAAGATGAAGCAGCTGCTGGAGCCTTGCACGCCGTATTTGCTGGATGAATGCCCGGCTGTGCTCTCAGTTGGCATTAAATGCCTTGACCAAGGGTATAGTTTCGTGTGGCCAGCAAACGGTACTCCGATCCTTGTGCGACCAGATGAGAAAATCGTTCAACTTCGTGTTGATGGTCATGTCCCAGTCCTCGACTCCGAGTGCAAAGTCTTTGGAAAGGGCAAGTTCAAGAAGGATAAGCCTCTGAAGAAGCTGTTTGCTATGCCGGGAGCAATCTCGAGCCCATCGGATAAGAAAGAGTATGAGGACATTGACGAGGAAGTGCCAGACGACGAAGAGAGCCGTTTGGTGCGATCAAGAAAAGTTGGAGACTTGATGCGTGAAGCGCAGTCCGCAAAACACCAGTATCACCACTTCCCCAAGAACCCATTCTGCAAAGTGTGTCAGCGAGCGAGGATGCTTGCACCACAGGCACGAAAGAAAGGGGGTGAAAGCCGCATTCAGACTAAGGCTTTCGGCGATCATCTGATCGCCGACCACGTCGTCGTGCGCGCGAACATCGAAGCAGGGAGTCGTGGCGAACGGGTAGCTTTGGTTGTGAAAGGCCTGCGTACAAAGTTCCGGAGTATTTACCCATCCCAGTCAAAGAGTTCGGATGAGGTAGTGATTGCTCTTCAGCATTTTGTAGCCCCGGATGATGCAGTAGAGGTCATTTACACTGACAATTCCCGTGAGCTGATAGCTGGTATCAAGGAGTTAGGGTATCGCCACCAAACCTCCGTTGAGTACGTGGACTCCTCCAAGAGCTTCATCGAAAGGGAAGTTAGGAACATGCTTGAGGGAGCACGCACCAATCTTGTTCAGTCCGGAATGCCCCTCCAGTACTGGCCACTCGCCATTCAACATTTTGCAATGGCAACAAACACGAGTGATCAGCTGGACTCATCTCCAAGCCCATGGGAACTGCGCTTTGGAGAAATGTTTGAAGGTATGGCCATTCCGTTTGGTGCAAAGGTCCTGTTCTGGAATAACCCCAATCGAGCCGACAATACAGCAGGAAAGCTGTCACCAACATCAGTGGAAGGCGTGTTTCTTGGTTACCATGTGCAGCCAGGGCACAAATGGCGTGGGGAGTATCTAGTTGCAAAGTTGGAAGCGCTAGACTACCATGTTGAACACAACAGTTTGACGATCCAGAGGACAAAGAAAATTGAGCTCCTTCCAGGCGGTTTTAGTTTTCCATTGCGTGTCAAACAAGATCGTAAGGAAGCTATTCCTGATGACCCAAAGCTCAACCTTATCGAGTCTCCCAATCCGATTCCACTTGCGGATGCTGACCTCGCAGAGTACACACCATCCGAAGCTCCAGAAGGTGTACTTGAACAGGGGGGTGTGGAACCCGAAATTGAAGTCACGGCAGCTGACAAAGCCGAGGACTACAAGCCCGACACTACGCCGGCCGGGGTCCCTATTCCTGAAGGTTACCATTGGGATGGTCTTCGAGTGGTGAAGACGTACAAAGGCAGCAAACGCCCCAAGGACATTCCATCGGATTATTGGAAAACGCTCGGCCCGAAAGATCGAGCAAAGTTGCTGAAAGAAATGGACGAAGCAAAGTCATCCTCCAGCAAAGGTTCAAAGACCACAAGTCCAGCGACTTCTTCTCAGCTCGGTTCATGCCGAAGCCCTTGTGTTTCGGACACAAGTACCAGCTGGGAAGCCGTGCCCATGCCGCAGATGAGGTTTGGAGCACCTGCAATGCCGCGGAAAGTGCTTGATCAACCTGAGCCGCATCGTCTTCCGATTCGGGAGCTTATCGCACAGCGCATCAAGCAAATCGAATTCCAAGTCGCATTCGAGCTTTTCTGTGCAGTTGCCAGGCTTGTTCCTCGCGACGAGGTTTCTCGAACTCCGAAGGCCAAAGCAGCGTTGGACGCTGAGCGGGAGCGACTAAGAGCCAAGGGAACATGGGATGAAGCCCGTGTTCAGGAGTGCCGAAAGGTCGTTAGT